CTGCTATAAACATTTGAGTGCAGTTGTCATTTTTGAAGAGTGTCATTGGATCTTTTGGGTAGATGCCCAGCAATGGGATTGCCGGATCAAATGGTAGATTCACTTGTACCGCTTTAAGGTATCTCCATATTGCTTTCCACAGAGGTTGAACTAATTTGCAGTCCCACCAGCAGTGTAGGAGTATAGAATTTTTTTATTCCATCTTGATTTCTTCATTTATGAGAGTAATCATTTAGTAGGAGTTGTTTAATTTCCACGTTTTTGTGTAGAAATGTGAGTTTCTGTTAGGGTTGATTTCTAGTTTTATTCCACTGTGATCTGAGAAGGCACATGGTATGATTTCTATTTTTTTAAATTTCTTGAGATTTACTTTGTGTCCTAGGATATGGTCAATGTTAGAGAATGTCCCGTGAGCTGATGAGAAGAACGTATATTCAGTGGATGGGGTAGAATGTCCTGTAGATGTCTGTCAGACCCAGTTGTTCCAGGGTTTTGTTTAAGTCCATTATTTCTTTATTAATTTTCTGTTTGGAGGATCTGTCTCGTGCCGTCAGTGGGGTGTTGAAATCTCCAGTGATTATGGAGTTGCTATTAATCCATTTGCTTAGATCCAGTAAGGTTTGCTTTATGAAACTGGGTGCACCTAAGTTGGGTGCATATATATTTAAAATTGTTATCTCTTCTTGTTGAAGTGTGCCTTCACCATTATATAATGACCCTCTTTGTATTTCACTACTTTTGTTGGTTTAAAAACTAAATCGTCTGAAATTAGAACTGCCACGCCAGCCTTCTTTTGGCTTCCACTTGCCTGGAATACTGATCTCCACCCTTTACTTTTTAGTCTATATGCATCCTTGCAGGTTAGATGTTTCCTGAAGACAGCATATTCTGGCCTGTATTTTCTATCCATTCAGCCAGCCTATGTCTCTTGAGTGGAGAGTTTAAGCCATTCACATTTATTGAGAGAACTGATAGGTAAGGTAGATTACTGTTCATTCTGTTGGGTTGGATGTTGTTGCTTTGATTCTGTCTTGAGCATTGTATATCTGGCCTTTAATCTTTGGTTTGGTTCTTTTTATATTCGTAAGTTTTTATTACGGTGTTCCGTGCGTAACACTGTTTTGAGTACTTCTTGCAGGGCTGGTCTTGTCTTGGTGAATTCTCTGACTTTGTTTCTGAGAATGTCTTTATTTCTCCTTCATATATGAAGCTTAGTTTGCAGGAATAATATTCTAGGCTGGGCATTGTTTTTTTCAAAAGAGTGAGAATGGGGCCCCAGTGTCTCCTTGCTTGTAAAGTCTCATTAGAGAAGTCTGGTGTTATTCAAATTGGCTTTCCCTTGTATGTCACTTGCTTCTTTCGTCTTACAGCTCTTAGAAGGGCCTCTTTAGTTGATATTTTGGTCAGTCTGATGACTGCATGTCGTGACGTCTTCCTGTTTGCATTGAATCTCCCAGGGGTCCTCTGAGCTTCTTGAACTTGTATATCGAGATTTTGAGCAAGGCCTGGGAAATTTTCCTCTATTATATCTTCAAATAGCTTGTCCCAAAAAATATTTTTGACAATGTCTTGTCTACTTCACTTTTTTACTACTTTGCTTTACCCAATGCCCTCTTGACTGTTTAAGTGGATGAAAGATAACATCGTGGAAAGAGCAGAACCTTTCCATCCTCAGTTTCCTCTTCTGTAAAATGGGAATAATAAGAGTTATCTTCTTCAAAAAGTTGTTTCGAGAATTCAATGAGTTAATATAAGTAAAAAGTCAGATGATGGATACCTACTATACACTATACAAATGTTATAATAATTGTTATGAAATTATGATGGTGATGATCTGCCTTTTGAATTTTATTGCCAAGATGTGAATCCATTAGCTATTATTTTGAGCCAGCAACTTAATAATTCTGAGCCTCAATTTCCTTAATTATAAACTAGAAATATCAACTCTGCTTACCTTAAATAGATCATGTTTATGAAAAGGATTCGTAAGCTCTAAAGCAAAACAAGGATGAACACTGAATCTGGACTTTTAAAAGAACTAGTTTAAGTCGTAGTTTCAGCTCTTAGTAGATATGTGACCTTAATTAAGTTCTTAGTTTCCTTGTTTATAAAATAATAATGGTAAAAGCATCTTGTCATAAAATTATCTTGAGGCTTAAATGAGGTGATGTATAAATAGCTCAGTGCCATGGCTGACACATGAACGTATAAAACAAAGTTCAAAAATATATTCCATATAGGATATAAGTATTTTAATTTCTTAATGATTTCTGTGTTATATTGCATTTTGATATGTGATAAGAGGATCTATTTTATTTCTGTAGTAGTTTTCCAGAAAATCTGTATCCTAAACATTCTATAGCACAGAATTCAATCTTTAACCATCTAGTTCTTGATGTCCAAAGCTAATATTTAGGAAACATTGGAGTTTGTGCATATGAAGGAAGAATTGAGTTAACTGAAATGAATTTACCAATCCTAAAACCCATATCACTGTTATTAAGAAGAACAGCTATAAAACTGCTGTTATCAAAACACATGTGAATCAGAAAAAATAAAAAAGAGAATACAGAAATGTGAAAACGCTTCATCAAACAGAGGAAAGAAATTATTGTCTTATGATCTATTAATATATGAAAAAGAACCTAGCCAAACATTAAAATTTTAAAAAATGAGAAGAAACATCATATATGGTATAAATAATGATTAAGTCACTGCCTAGATCTGAATATGCGATGTGTTGACCTATTCTACCTACTCCAAATGCTTTGGTGTTGTTATTATTTCAACCCCCCAAACTCCAGTGCAGGGGTCCTCAAACTTTTTAAACTGGGGGCCAGTTCACTGTCCCTCAGACCATTGGAGGGCCAGACTATAGTTTAGAAAAAACTATGAACAAATTCTTATGCACACTGCACATATCTTATTTTGAAGTAAAAAAAACAAAGGGACAAAAACACCCGCATGTGGCCCGTGGGCCATAGTTTGAGGATGCCTGCACTAGAGTGCTTTAGAATTTTTAAACCATTGACCATATTTAGTTATGTTTAAAGCAGACCATAATTCAGAATAAATTAAAAATTATCTATTTTAAAATCTTTGCCCATAGCATTGTTGAAACAAATTGCTTAACAAATTTTGTTGCTAATCCAGTACCAAATATTTTGACTACCCGATACCAAAATGCTATAGTCAGGTTGACACTAATAGATATCATTTATTTAGGCAAACTGACAATGGGTTCACCAAACTTAGAAAACAACTCCCAGGGGTCAGACAAGTTGGCAGCTTAGATTTATTTACCATGAGCAAGAATATGCCCTAAAAGCTATTTGTTAAACTTAAAATTAAGTAATACTGTTGTAAAATGTGGAGACAGCACATTGGAAACATAGCATTCCATTTACTGTTATAGATCATTTTTTGCCACTAATATTATTTGGTCTTGGAAAATAAAATCCTCTTGAAGAAAGTAATTATAAAAAGTGCGCATCAGGGAATGTAATTGAGGACAGACTTTTTGTTGACCTCAGAAAAGAACAAAAGCTCAAAAGAAATTTTATAAAGTTTTAAATTTGGCAAGAGGACTACAATATCGCTGATAATTAGACTTTCAACACATTTGGATTTGCTAATTGGATCTAAGTTCTAATTAGACTCTTTATGTAACTAAGAATGACATATCATTGTATGAATTTAATGTGCTTTTACAGTTGAAACCAACAATTAGCAGCATTTTTCAAATTATTTTAATAAGGAAAAAGCTAGCTTTGTTGTTTATATTGTGACATCCCCTTCTTTTAAGATATATTATGTACATTTTAGTTTTCTTAATTAAACACCTTTTGGGATGCTCAAAGAGAAACTTGGGTTTTAATAGGAAGCACCTAAATCTTTTATTTTGGGAGGAAACTTCCCAGCCAGTATGTTGATGACTTAGGAAGCCACAGACAAAATGCAATGCAAGGAAATAAAACACAATCATCAAGAGGAAACAGCACAAATAAACATTTGCCCCTATAACCATTCAGTTAATCAAAACAGTCTCTAAATATGACTACAGGCTTGTAACATTTTTAAAATGTGCAAATGCAGACGAGGTTCCCAAATGTGAAGGCTCAAGGAGCCGCTATCAGGATCAATAGCATGACATTTCTTCCCAAGATGTGCATTGCAACATTCTCTCTGCAGCTTTGCTGCTTGAGCAGTTATCTGGTAATTCAAGTCACATCATCTCTTTCTTTTCTCCATATTTTTGATTGAGAGTCATCAATTTTATCCCATTGAGATTTATAGGCAGTAATTTTAAAACTGGTAGCCCTCAGATTTGGGTATTACAAGAGATAAGAACTACATGAGAGTGTAAAATTAAACCAGTATTTTGGAGAGCAAAGAGCAGTGAATCATTGTAAGATTTTAAGGGAAAGGCTGCTGCCAAAATATTCCAAGCAAATTGATAGCACTGACAAAAAAGGCAAATTATATTGTTTTATGTACTGTGAATACTTTGAAAACAACAAAGCCGTATACATGATGTTTTCCTCAAATAAAAGCAGTTACCCTTCTAACCACATTAAAAATATTGTAGTTTTTTCCCCAGTAAAAGCAGTATGTGATCAAATTAAAACTATTGAAACTATAAGAAAATCGAATTTGCGCATTAATTGATAAATTAGAACAGATGCTATTCTAGAATTATCTGTGCTATTATTTCTCCAATTAGCGTATTACTGAGCCTGAATTATCGATGTATATATAACTCCTCATTAAGTCAGATGTCCTCAATGAGCCTCCTAAAGCATGTTGAGTACTGTCATATGCTATATGATGGTATTTAAAAGCAGAATGACATTTCTGATTGTTTCATTTGCTATTAAAAAAGAAAACCTTTTGATACCAATTATTTCAAGAGCTATCACACAGTTTTCTGTACAGTCTGTACAGAGGTGATTGGATTATTGTTCAGACGGAAGAGTGACCAGAGCCATTTTATCTTTCAGCTTGGGTGCTGGAATCCTGTCACAGGTCTGAATGGGTCACTGACCGATAAGAAACTGGAGAATAACATGCGTGGCGTGGTTTTACGTGTGGTGACTGTTCTGGTAAGTCTTAGCTGTGCCTTGTGGTTTTGGCTTCCAGCAGTTACTTTACCTTGTATTTCTTTAAGTTTTATTAAGGGGAGACATAATTTCAAGGGAGCTTTTGACAAATTCTGACTGTGCTTTCTAAGATAGTTTTAATGATCACTTTTTCCAGCCCTCAGTTTATGTGGATCAGGATCAGAGTTTTGCAAGCTTTTCTTTTAATTACAGCGGTTATGTTAGCAACTTTCTTAGACATTTAAGACCCAATTTCCATTCTTGTACAGTTTTCTAGACATGATAAAGTAATCTCTCAGGCATCCTCCCACTGAAAGTATAGTATACATAACTGATGATAACCAGGCCTAACAATGGTAGATTTGATAAAATGTATGCATTCAGTAATAGTAAAATATCAGCAGACAAAGACAATCCTTTTCCAGTAAGGATCTACTTCAAAGGAAAGATCATCCAGTTGTTTTAGATATTTATTGAATGTCAACTATTCCAAGCTCAGTACTGATTAATGAGGATGTTGACAAATACATTAGGCAGATAGGATTCTGTCTTTATGGAGCTTATCATCTATTGCTTCTGTGAATCTTAAATACCCCATTATCTGCAAGGGGTACATTTCAAGACCCCCAGTTGATGCCTGAGAGTGCCAAAAGCTAAATATGCTATGTTTTTTCCTATACAATTACATCGTGTGGGGCAGGTAGTGTATACAGCATAGATATGCTGGACAAAAGGGTGATTCACCTCCTGGGTATGATGGTGGAAGAGCAGGAGATTTCACCGCGCTACTCAGAATCATGTGCAATTTAAACCTTACAGATTGTTTATTTTTGGAATTTTCCATGAAACAGTTTCAGACTGTGGTTAACTAGGGGTAACAAACTGGGGAAAGTGAAACCACAGATAACGGGGGATTCCTGTGTACATTTGAAACCTTTGATACCATTCCACTTACTTATTAGAAAAATCAGTATATGGTAGCTATTATCATAATTCTATATATCATCATTTTCTCTCCTAATAAACATATAAAATAAGATGCTAACAGAAATATTCTTAAACAGTAAAATACTACTGTCTAAATAGCCATAAACTATGAAGATATGCATTCTCCTCATGTTTAACCTTGTGCTAGTTTACAGGATGTTTCAAAACCTAATAGTCCATAATTATTAACTTTATTTTTTTTTCAAAAAGGCCTGCTTGTTTTTAAATTTGAAAAAGGCTTCTTATAGGCTAAGTAAATTGCATAATTAGTAATAATAAGAGTCAGTCTTTTTGATATGTTGATGCTAATTGGAATGTTCATCCAAGTTTATAACACCCAGTGCTGCCCTTTGTACATTGTTTAATACAAATAGACTCAATGTAGTTTCATTGTCAAAAAAAGGATCTAAGAATATTCTCTATTCTCTATTCATTCTCTATAAAAGATAATTCAAGTGAGTAGCCTATGCCCTTTTTCTTGGGCTTATAGTTTATTCCTAGTTACAGTTTTAATAAGGGTTTCATTGTTTTCAGTAAATAATTATATTACAAATATTTCACAACTTAAATGTGAATGTAATTCTGTATGTACCTAAGGGCAGAGACATGAATTTTTATTAGTGTGCTAATATCTAAAATACACTTACAATTAAAGTGCAGCAAACTATTAATAGTCTCGTCTCTAGTGATTAATATGGAAACTCTGGCAGCAATTGCAATAAAGGCTAATATATGTCTTTTGTTTTACTTTGAGCAAAGAAAACAATTTTTAAGGCAAATTAATCTTATCCATTTGTTAAGCAATTATTACTCACTATATGATAGAAGTGGTTTTGGATATAGATAAATAATACATGGACCCTATCCTCAAGTTATGCACAGAAATTTGTTAGGTTTATTGACACACAACAAAACAGCTAAGATTTACTAAGTGCAGTTGACCTTTGGAATCTGTGGGGGATTGGCTCCAGGAACATTCCCCATACCAAAATCCTCCAGTACTCAAGTCCTTGACATAAAGTGGTATAGTATCTGCATATAACCTACCTACATTCTCCTATATACTTTAAATCATCTCTAGATAATACAATACAAATGCTATGTAAATTGTTGTCATAACTGTATTGGTTTTATTTGTGTTATTTTATCATTGTATTGTTATTTTTATTTATTTTTAATATTTTTGATTCTTAATGGTTGAATCCACATCTGATTGAATCCACAGATGCCAAACCCAGGGATGTGGAGGGCTAACTGTACCTAATATGTGCCAGGTCCTCTGTGAAGTACTTTGCATGTATTCTCTTATTCAGTTCTCATAGTATTCCCCAAAATAGGTACTATTCTGATCTGAAGAATATAGAAGAGGAAACTGAGATGTCCAGAAGTTAAAAAAAAATTGGGGAAGGTTATACAGATAATATAGCACAGTTGGGATTCAAATCCAGGAATTTACATCTTCCCTCTTCATGATACATTATGCTTTCTCCAGTCCTCCTGTGATAAATGTAAGAATTGAGCTATCTATAGAACTTTATTTGACTTGGGAGTTAGAAATTCTTAACTCTGAGTAAGGTGAAAGTGAGTTTTATTGGGAAAGCTTTGAAGGGTCAATTATTTTAAATTCCTCTCCAGGCTGAATAAACCGATTACTCTTTTGTTCATGAAAGAGTAGTGCTTCACACAGTGTTAATGTGAGCATGCCCCAGGTTCATCTTCATGACACACAGCGGTCTCTGTTTTTGCAAGCTCAGCCCTGCACAGATCCCAAATATGGTTATCAAGTGGAGATACAGAAACAGTCTGTTTTCCCCATGTCTTTTGTGATGTCTCCCAGAAAAAAACTTGGAAGGTAGAAGATGGATCGAGGACATGGGTCTGCACATAAATAAAATCCATATTATATTATTAATATTAATTAAAGTCTGAAATTAGTAGGAATAAAGTCATATAGACTCTATATACTTTTTGACCAACTGTTGTCCTATAAAATTTATAGTTTTGATCTGCCACTTAAAATTTTACATTTAGGTTAAATATAAAGAACATTACAAGTTATTTTCTATTTTCAAAAGGATCAAAGCTATTAAATCTTTTGACATAGTTGATACTAAGAAATTACTTTACCCATTCACAATGTCTGTCCAAACAACTATGTGCTTTTAGGTAAAGTAGAAAGTTTTAGCCAGGCACCATGGCACCTGCCTGTAGTGACAACTACTCGGGAAGCTGAGACAGGAGGACTGCTTGAGCCCAGATTTTTGAGGATGTAGTGCACCATGGTCATGCCTGTGAATAGCCATTGCTCTCTAGCCCAGGCAACATAGTGAGGCATCATCCCAAAGAAGACAGAAGAAAAAGGAGGAGAAAGGAGGAGGAGGAGGAGAAAGCAAAGAAGAAGGAGAAAGAGAAGAAGGAGGAGGAAGAGAAGGAGGAAGAAAGTTTTAATTCAAAATTTCAAGAAATCAAGAATCATTCATGCTATGAAATAACAAGTCTACATTTGGTGAGAAGTTACAAGTGATATAGAATCACTGAATTTTTTTCTTTTTGGTCTTAGAGGCAATTATTGTTTGCTTTTTTTGTTACACCATGTTTTTATGTCCATATAGAATAATATTTCATAATTCATTTTCCCACAATCTATAGGAAGCATAGAATTATACAAAATCAGTATAATGGATAAAGGAGGAAAAGAATAGTGCAATTGTGCAGAGTTATGATTCTCTAAGGAAATAGCAATTCAAGTAGAAGCAAAGAAACCTACATCTTTTCTCCTCTTGAATTGTGCCTCTTTAGAAATTTTAGGAATATAACTTACTTATAATAAATACAGGTAAAAAGTGAATTTGTCTTTTTTTCATTTTGAGGGATATTGTGACTAGTATATAGGGACTAGATTCTTAATCTGTTCAAATGCAAGAAATTATGAAAGTTAGATTTACTTATTTATATACATCAATGTAAAGTCAAGCAATGTACTTAATTTCCTCTTACTATATTTTTTAACAAAGGAAAAGAATATATAATATGTGATTATTTTTTTATTGGCAGTACCTAAACCCATTGTGTTGCTTTTTCTCTACGTGGTCTCCTTTCTTCAGCACACTCATACTAAAAGCATTTTGTATATACTTCAAAAAGCATAGGAGTTGCAGTCAAAAGATATTAAAGTACTATACCAGCTTTTCTCCTTAATAGATCCTTGAATTTGTGGAAGCCAAGAAGCTATTCTGAACTTCAAATTTTCTATCTGTAAAAAAGAAATAACAAAACCAACCACAAAGGGATATAATGAGATTAAATGGGTGATGTGAAAGCAGGCAGGAAAATGCACAGTGCTTCTAAATATAAGATATTATTATCTCTGCAGTAAAACTATGATGTGTACATTAACTAAAGAAAAGGAAAAAGAAGCATGAGTGATCATGAAAGTATAATTAATCATTTTCATCAAATTTCAGATTTTTGTGGGAGGTTATCTGGAGGACCCTAAGGCAGACAAACAAATGTAAACTGCAGAATAATGAGTTTTAGGTGTAGTCACTGTTCCCTCAATTTGAAAATCTGCTAATGAGGACCACAGCAACTCTCCTGCCAGTGAAGCTGAAGTTTCCTAGAGGAAATATGCATAAAAAACATCTAGCACTGAAAGCAAAAGCTACTTAAATTATGATCTTAAAAAATTTCTAAAACTTTTTATGATAATTATATTGTCTCATACAAATTGTATCTGATTCCAGGCTAGCTCTAAATAGATTCTGTATGTTAATACATAGCTAAAAAAAAATATGCCTTCAAATAGCTCTCAAATGTCATTGCCGTTAAGCTTTTTGCTAAGGGCCTTGCCCAAATTTTTGCTACCTAGAGATCTTCAGCATTTTCATCCCCCTACCCCAAAGCTCAAGCTTTCCTGAGGTCTCAGCATTTGAGCCTTTTGAACCTGGAGGCAAGGTTAGGGGACGGGAAAGTAAACCTGCCAAGAGGCTCCACTGGAGCAAGGCAGTGGGAAGGGA